AAAATAGAAAAAGAAAAAAGAGAAGTTATATTCTTCCTATGAATAGGGTTCACACAATGAGGGTTTCAGGAGATACATTTTCGCCTCTCTGATTCAGCACAGTACACTGGTTTTTAGCTTGCCTACCTGGGTTTTTGTTCCCTGCAATTAGACAAAATTTAAAATTCAGGGAACAGTAAAATTGTTACCATTAAAATAGGGTGATAATTCACACTTCTGTGCAATATTAGGCTATTTTATGATACTTGGAAGATTTTTATTATAACAATAATAAAACTAGTAAGTAGGTCTTGAAATAAGGGGAGAAAATGAAGCTTGAACATGTACAGTAAATTTCATGCAAGTGTATCATGAAGTCATGCTGCTACTATATTTTTCTTAATTCTATTTTTAAGAACAATCATAGTAATTTGGAAAACTCTCTCTCTACTGCATAAACATAATCTGTTTAATTATCCTAAGCAGAAAAAAAATCCTAAGCAGAAAGAATAATAGCTGTTAAATATGCTGCCATATTTCACTATATTTTTGATAGTGAAAGTATGCCAAAGAATTAGTTTCCTGCTTTTTAGGACTGTATATATGACATTTGAGTGCATGTTGATGTCGATGCAAAACAGATTTTCCATCTTTTCTAATATTATTTGTAACAAGCATTAGAAATATGCTTCCAGGTGATCCCAGTTAGCAGACAATAGTAGTCTTTTTTTCTTTCTATAGCTAATGACACTACAAAAATAAAATTAATGAAAGTAAATGCCCTTATGAAAAGGAAAAAAAAAAATTAATTTTGCATATTATTTTCCTACCACAACTTTTGTTTGTCGAGTTCTGCAAAGAATACTCTGTTTTCTCTCTCTGCATAAATAAACATATATCTAAGAGTTGTCTACTGGAATATTGTGTTTTGTTATATGAAATAACAGAAAAAAATAACGTGCAGAAAGTAGAAAACATTCTTCACAACTAGAAGTTATCTTCCATGTTCCCAGACTTTCTCTGTTTGTTCAAATTCATGCATTTGAGATGGTGTCTATAAAGCCAATTACAGCGGCATCAGAAAGCATGAATAGCATTGTGTTGCCCCACTCAGTGGGTTTCAGTGAAGGTGAATGTTTTTCTGTCTCCTGAGTCATGCCTCCCCTAGTCAGTAGGGCTCACTACCATGGTGTAGTCATCTAAGACTCAGAGGAATAATGCACTTTCATTTATGGAGAGCTTTCTTAACAACTAATACTTGGAGGTAAAATTGGCGTATGTGCTAATAGCAATTTATAAGTGTTAAAGGTAATGCAATATTATGCAATGGCTACTACAAAGACTGAAAGAGTAAAAGAAGAGAAAAAATAGAAAATAGAGCAAGAGAGACAGACAGACAGTTATCCAAAACCAGTAAAGCACAGCAGTTCACCGCTCCTCAATCCAGTGATGTTAGAGGGTGCTGATCTTTGGCAGTTGTGGATTGTCCAGGGTTGTGGTGATACAACAAACATACATATTCTTATAGTCCAGAGCAGTCAAGCCTGCTCTTTCAGAGCAACAGCTTCTGGATTCAGAAATCTCAGCAGGAGCTCTTTTGTTCTCATCTTCAAGGCCGTGCAAATTTAAATCAGCAGAAAGAAGCTTCCCATTTGAAAGCAAACAGTTCTGAACAAATGCTTTTGAGTGTACAACTGTCCACACCATGTTTTGATTGTCTCGTGTTGATCTGGGACGAAACATTCCTTACCAGTCCATACAAGAATAAGCACAGTAATAACATTCTACTCAGTTAATACCTTTGCTTGCTTTGCTTGACCTTTGCTTAAAAATTGTTTAGAGAGGATCACTAAGTGAAAAGAACTTCTACAAATAGAATATATGGAAGTAGGCAAGTGAATATCCGTTGAGGGTGAAGAGATAGTTACCTCTTAGAAGTCACAGTACATGTTTTCTTACTCTCACAGGAGGACAGATAAGTGTGTTCAAGCTGCTGGACAAAAGGAGAATAAAGTTCTATGAAAGTACCTTCTGATTTTAGCAGAGCTTGTCTCCGGACACGGAGGAAAGAGGTGGAGACTGTAATTGTAGGTTAAATATAATGACCAATTCTATGCTGTAAGATTGATTTAGTTACGTGTTCATCAGATAATTACAATAGCCTCCACCAATTTGTTTGAGATAGCTCAGAAACTCTGTAGCCCAAACGCATATAAATTTTTATGCATAGAATTTTTAAAGGTAGAGTATATTTCTCTGTGTCAAGAGCATTTTCCTTATCATCACTCATTCCCAAATACGTGATAGAATGCAAAACATCAAATTATTAAGTAGTTAAGCGAAAGCAGGATGGTCCTTTATGAAAGGGGAAAAAGCCAACACAACAGCAAATAAGAAGTAAACCAAAAATTACGGTTCTTAATTATTAAAGTCAGTAAAGAGAACTTCTTCATCCAAAGACAAGATCAGCTAGAAGCCACGATACGCCTTGAATTGCTCATTAGAACTGATGCAACTGATCGTATCTGCTCCTAAAAAGCTTGCAGCTATGATTCTATGGCAAGACTACTAGTTTTTATTCAAAGAATGGCACGTATGCGTTTCACTGTATCCCCAGGCTTAAACATACCATGCTTTAATTACCAGTACGCAGGTTCTTTCATGGCAGACATATCACTTCGCTTATGTTTTACTGAATGCTTGTTTTCTGATAGGCCTCTATTTCTTTGCTTTTTGGTTTAGGTTGTAATTGGTTGTGCTGGGGGAGAAAGGTGCAGGGCTATAAGTTCTTCTCACCTGCATTCAGTCTGCTTAATGCTTTGCAAATGAGAAATTACTTTCATTTTAGGGAAACCACATTTCAACTGCAAATATACTCTATCCTTCAGTGACAAAAGAATATTTCATCTCGACTAATAAAAAAAGTATTTGAAGCAGCTTCAGATGAAATATTTTTGTCTTGCTATAAATCTTCTCTGTGAATACTTAAAACTATATGTGTTCATTATAGTACTATATGTGGAAGCATCCACTTTTCTAAACAGAAATTGCCGTGTGTATGTGTGTGTGTCAACAAATAAATAAATCCACTTAAAACAAATGCTAATGCAATCCTTTGATTTGCTGCATATGCACACATTCAAGTATATACAAGACTCCAAAGATAATTTATTTATTAAAATAGATAGTTAATTGTTAGCTTAGAACCGTGGGTAGTATGCTGCACCAGAACTGTAATCAACATTGTAAATGTCTTCAATGGCTGGGGAAGATTTAAGCCTAAAGATACTTGTCAGCAAAGATTGAAAATGAGTATTTCATACTAGTGACAATTTCTATAGTATCTAGAAAAAATTTTCAGACGTCACTTTAACAGGTATTGCCTCTGGGGAAATTTTAGAAAAAAGAGAAGAGTGGAGACACTTAGGAATTGTGATACCGCAGAAATGATTATTTCCTGAAGCTGTTAATTTATCTGTGTGTTGAGTTGAATGCACCCTACGGGTACTTTAGACAATGCTTAAAAATATTATGTCTTTGATTACTCTTACAGTAGTATACAGTTGAAGTAGTTTTTCGTTATTATTATTGATGTTGAATTGCAGAACTATTCAAAGAGCTTTCAAATGGTCACGCACTGGAATAGGCACCCCAGGGAGGTGGTTGAGTCACCATCCCTGGATGTGTTTAAAAGCCATTTGGATGTGGTGCTCAGGGAGATGATTTAGCAGAGGGTTGTTAGAGTAAGGGTAGAATGGTTCGTTTGGGGTTGGACTTGATCTTGAATGTCTTTTCCAACCTGACCAATTCTATGATTCTAAATAATAACATTGATAATATTTGCCACAGTATCTAGCAATTCATACATTCTGCTGCTAAAGTCCCTGATGCAAATAATATTTGTCAGAAATCAGAGCTCCTATAGCGAAATATAATTCTCTGAAAATGGAGATAGATTTTAATCAAAACTACTTGTCTTCAGCTGAAGTAATTTCAAAGGATACACATCCAGCCCGCCAAAGTGAGTTTTTAATTTGAAAAGTATGTATTATAGAGAAAAAGAAACTTTACCCATACATTTTAATCCAGCAGAAAATGCTACAAATATTACTCATTTGCTGCACAAATGCTTCTCAAGTACAATGTAAAATACGCACTGAATACTGAAAAAATTATTTACGTGCTTTCTCCTTGAAGGCAGTATGCATGTTGAATAATAAAGAACGAAATTCAGCCCCAAAGAATAGGGGAACATGCTTCAATAGATTTCACAGTAGTGCTATTAGTTTGCAGATTGAAATGAAGGGATGTACTGGAAAACATAGCATAGGAGAAAGAGAAAATAAGCAAAAAGAAAGAATAATACGTATTTCAAAGATGATTTAAAAATACGTTTTTTTAGCTGTAAAATCATCACACCTAATGCCACCTGTATCACCCACATTGTAACATTAGATCCTTCCATCAGCGAGTAAAGTTTTCTGGTTGAAATGACAATTTAAGGGATGAAGTAACATTTTCCTCCAGTCTGCTGCTTGGAATTTTTTATTGCATTGTTACAAGTAGTTTGCTGAGTTTAATAGTTATTCCTGACGTTAATTCAAATGTTATATTCCTTTCCATGCTGCTTCAGTACCTGGAACAGCATACATTTAAAATGATTGAAATGAATTTCAGTGTCAAAATGTCATGATTAAGCCAAGGGGAAAACATAACTAAAAGAAACGTGAGTTTAAAGTCGAATGCGAAGAGAATAGGAGAGATGCTGCAGATTTATAAATGATACAGATAAACAAAGAAATACAATTAAAAATATGACTGAACTGGGAACTGGTAATACTTTCTCAGGCTTTCTGCTTAAACAAATTTACAAGTATAAAAAGCTTTCTGTGCAGATAAAATGATTGTTGCAATTTCTCTTTTACTGTAAGATAGCATACTAACTTTTAGCGAATTTCTAATTAAAATCATAAAGTTTGAAAATTATCCCAAATTTATCTGTCCATTAAATTTTTTTTTAGATTCTCCTTCCCTATTTTGAAGGGAAATCTGTGAATGAAGAAAAGGTATGATTCTTAGTTGCTTTAAAATAGGAATTCCATTTGAACAGTATAGGAAAATGTTGGATAAACTGTTTTTCAAAGTTTCTTGATCAAAATTTTAAACCTTTACTTTTTTACTTGATTTATTTAAACAGGAAATTTCTTGTGGTTTCGTACAGCGTTGATGTATCATAGAACATCTTGCATCAGTGAAACCTGTTAACAAGTTACAGACTCTTTGGTTTTGCTCCTCCGTTTGAAGGTTATTGGCACCACTGCTTGTCTGGAAGAACAAGGTATATGAACACTCGGTATCTATTTACACACAAAATTTGCTAAATTGATGCAAAACATTTTTAGCATTGGTTCAGACTAACTCAATTCGCCTTTAACTTAGCTATTAGTGGAGCATTTCAGTTCCTTTGGACAATAGGCTATGGGCAGGATGGTCAAAAAATCTCTTTGAATGTCCCAGTTTTTACCACCTGTCTCATAATATTTGGTCATACTTTACAAGACATAGTAACATTTGTTGTAGAAATTCTAAGCAGAGTATAAATTAAGATTTTTATTCATATAATTCTCTGCAGCAGAGAATGTAAAATATGTAATCTAACATAGAGAATGTAGTTATGTGAACTAACCTTTCTGAGACGATACTCGGCTTAATTTCAGGGTCTTCTTTACATTAATGTATTTCTCATTTCCATATTATGTACGTAGTCCTCAAACATTTAATTCTTTTTTCAAAATACTCTGTAGAACACAGTTGCGAAACTCAATTTCATTTCAATTCTGTAATTTATTTTTAGATATACTTGCCCAATTTATTTTCAGTCTAGCAAGATACTACGATTATGATAAGTCAAAAAAATAACAATATCATTAAAAAATCTCATTATAAAGAAAATCACACCATTCACATCTCCATGTGCATATGATAGTTTAACTCAGTTTTCAAATCCTGATATACGCATATTGCCTTCAAGTCAGGACAAAAGGATTTCTGACTCACATACGTGGAGATGCATGTAAGATTTGAGCATAGGTTTCATAATTATCTGAAGTTTTTTCAGGCATATGGCAGTAAGTAGGTAAATCAATAATGACATTCCAAATAGTGATAATAAGCAAATCATAACCTAAGACTGTAAGCTTGCGAACCTGAGCACTCGTGCATCATGTAAATTCTTCTAACTTTCTCATCTGCTTTAGACTGGTCTAAGTAGGAGCAAGCCATAGAGGTCAGAATACATTTAATATGCTTTACCAATGTATTAGATATTAATCTTCTGATAGATGTGTAAACCTCATTCTAAATAATTTAAAAATGGATGCAGAGTCAGGAAAAAATGTAGTAACTCTCTTTTTGGGAGATGAAATGAGTATGGCTCATACAGGAGGCAAGTTATCTAAAGCACTTCAAGTCACCGTACTAGTTGAAGTCATATTAAGTTAAATGAAATGAAATATATTCTTTTGTGACCAGTCTGACTGTTGCCTGTGTTGCTGCTAACTTTTGAACTTAAGACTATCGGTTAGGTATTCTGTGTGACAGTTTTAGTGTCGTTTTGGCTTATTTGTGGAAAGAAGATTTAAAAAAAAATACCCCAAAACAAACCAACCGAACAAAAAAATAAAGTAACAACATAAAAGGACCCATAAGTAGCAATGTAGGTGACAGGGGATATTTTCTGTCTTTCAAAATTACACAAGAGTAGTTCCAGAATTTAAAGCATATATCAACTTGCATTGTGAGAATTTACCCAAAACTTTGATAGTGTTTTTTTTTTCCTTCTGCTTCCAAAGTAAAATATATACATTTATCTTTTTGTAGGGAGAGCAAAGGAAGGAAAAAGAAAGAGAAGGGAGTAACTTAGGGACTTAAGTAGCAGTTTCACTATGGTAACTACTGCACCAAAGAAAATGTTGATTAATGTAAATCTGGAGACTAGGGTGGAATAAAATAGCATAATTCTTCTTTCTGTTCCCCCCAAGGGAATATAAAACCTTCAGTTGCCATGGGTAGATACGCGTTTGCTCAAGGAAAATGAGAATGGTACGGAATGTTTTTATTATTTGTCCCCTATCAAAATACTGAGAAGCAGAATGCATTTGTCAGTCTTTGCCCCTTTGATGGCATGTGGGTCACTCAGTTTGCTCTCTCCTGCAAAATTTAATGGGAACCCTGATATGTTCTTTTTCTAGGATCTACGAACTTACAGACTCTCTTTCTAAGAGATTCTATAGTACAGGGTAGACTTTGGGTGAACTTGGTTTATGGTTTCTGTTGCCTGAAAGTCCAAGGATGAATGGTTCATGCAAGACAGTAGGCTTTTATTCAAGAGCAGAATTGTAGCCATAGAATTGTAGTCGAATAAGAATGTGTTTATTTGGGGTATTTTGAAGAGTTGTCTTTAAAATTACGTTATCCTTCAAACTTACTGCATACTGCCTGCTGTGTATTGGATTTATCTATAGTGACGACAGATTAAGCATGGTTTCAAATATTGATGCAAAACTTAACTGATATAATAGCAGATGAAAACGTGTTTGAGTATGTATAACAGTGAACACAAATTGATGAAAAGGTCTTTAATGTTGATAAATGTAATTACAACTGACACATTCTGATAGTCCAGTTCAGTAGGTGATTGCAGAGGCACACTCAGTCTTAAAAGTGTCTTAGTCATGGAAAAGCACATGAAATACAGCAGCATTTTAATCAGCTTTGCTGAGCTGATTAAACAGCAGTACAGCAGCTAGCAATCAGCCTTGCGAGCTGATACTAGCGCAGTGTATGGTTGGTTTTCTCTCTCCTTGCCACTGTGGATGACTTTTTTGTGATTACAGTTCTGACAACTGAACCAAGATTGCTGATATAAGCTTAGTCCATAAAGAAAGGGGATGTTTATCTAGCTGATTTTGGATTTTCAAAGAGTCAAATAGAAATTAAAGTGTTAAACATCACTTTCCTCACAGTTTCAGTATGACAACATAAATTACAATGGTTAAAAGGTAAAAAGTGGGGCTGAGAACAAATGTCTTAGGTCACAGAAGTTTCAGTTTGGGAAGAAGTTTCACAGATGTCAGAATAGAAGTATAGCTGCAGCAGCCTGCTGGCTGCATTTCTGGCTCTATGCAATCTCTTTTTCTAAGCTGTTGTTGCACTCAAGTGTATCTGACCTATCTCTTTTCCTAACTGCAGAAAGTAATTCTCTGTAGAAAGTCACCAGCTATACTGGTACATGGAGCAGAATGAAAATGATGAAGTGTTCTCAGTGGGTGAAAATAACAAAGGGAAAAAAAATAAAAAGTGGAGAAAAAAATAAATTAAACTGATCATTTTCCTGTCCTAGACATCAGTGATTAATTATGAAAACTAGAGCAAGTACTGAGCATAAACAATGTGCTTGAAAATTTATTTTTACTGAAATTATATGATTTGGTACTCAAAGACTGGCTGTGCTGTCACTGTAGACATGGAAGAAAGTGAAGGCACTGTTATAATGATGACTAACCAGGGTTCAGAACTAAAATGAACTATCTTCAGATTCTGTTACATCTTCTCTGGCCAGATTAGAAATCTAAATGAAAGGATACCCTGTCAAACTTTTCTGTTGTCATTAAAAAACAAAAACAACAACAACAAAAAAAACACCTAGAAAACCAACCTTCCCTTCTAACAGTTTTGAGGAAAGCAAGCGCTATTTCAAGGAATAAATTATAGCTGTCTTTTTGAGTTTGTCCTGAAACAGATTGCTATGCTATGGCATACTGAAATCATTTTCAGATTTATATAGAGAATGTGGCAATTACTGATTATTTTTTTATTATTATTTTGTATTTTTTTAATAGCTATTTCACTCAGGAAAATTGGACTATGGATATATGCTGACCAAAACCTGTGACCTGCAATGAAACGAAGAATATTCTTGCAGTCTTAAAAGGTGGATTCTGTTATTCAGGTAGGAGAACAGCAAAATATTTCTGTGCTTCCCATGGTGTGCATATCCTTGAGTTGTCCATGATCAGTTGTATTACGAGGCCATTGTCAGTCAGATCTAGGTGGTTAAGTACTGCAGTTATACTTCTGTTGCACTATATGGATTCAAGTATCAGTACCTACCATATGTTTATCTATTTTAAGGGATAGCTGAAGCTTACTGAAAAATTATTTATTCATACTATATATCATTCCCCCAAATGGTAGCTTAATTAAGCTTAATTGACTTAATTAAAAAAAAAAAGAAAGGAAAAAAAAACTGTCATCAGAAAGAACTTAAGAACCGAAAATAGTTTTGGGATTTTTTTTTTTAGGATCCCACTTTTTTCTTTTATAAATTGTTAAGATGTTTAGAACATCATTAGCATCATTGAAGCTGTGTAGTGACACCACGAGGAAATAAAGTTGAGAGCTTTCTCCAAGGTATTCCCAAGTTCATTTGATGCTGTTGTTTTAATACTTCTTGCAATTTGCTGTGAAGGCTTTTATGCTCTAAAGTTTCAATCTCCAGAGGTCTATTAAATATATTTTTTTAATATGTAGGTATCTCTTCTAGATACAGAAGTTAGACAAAATTTATGTGCCATAAACTTTGTGTGACAGTAAAACCATCTAGTGAGAAGTTATCCAGTTTATCCAGATTAAGGAAATTAAGACTAAATCTCCTTTAAAAGCAGGCAATGTCTAAAACATCCCTAATATACAAGAAAATTTATTATTTAATGCTGCTGTTTTAAGACTTCTTGCATTTTCTTTAAAGGCTTTCATCCTCCAAAATCTTAATCTCTAGTGGTCCATTTAAATTACACTGTAGATTTGCACGTATCTGCTATAGAAAATTTGTGAGAGAATTGCTTTTGAAATATTTCAGTGTGCTCTCTACAAACACACTAGGAAATCAGTTAGGGAATGTAAAAAAGTAATGAAAGCCTATGTAAATTTATTACTGTTTTGAAGTTTGTGTCCATGTGTTGGAATCGAACATGTGTTACGTTCTGCTTTTCCTCTGTGCCTGATGGTGAGTCAAACCCAGAAGTTAATTTGATGTGGAATAACTGCTCTATTTCTATGTAGTGCAATTACAGTTTCTTAGTAAGATAATTCTTAATATGACCTGCTGCACTGAATCATAGATGTTACTGATCGTTAAGACATACATAGTTTTATTTATGGCCATCTGAAGTGTTGATGTACTCACAGAATTACATGAAATACCATAGCTCTCATGGGAGAGTGAATGACAATTTGAAAACATGACCACCTGAGTTAAAAACAACCACAACAAACACCTAAAGTGAATCAGAATATTTTATTTTTTATCTGTTTTCATTGTATAACAAAGAAATTAGTAGGAAGATTAAAATTATGATCACCATTATTAATTTCCCTAGCTAGTAAATAATGGTCTAGGCAATGAAACAAAAAGGAAATCTAGAAGTCAATTTCTAAAGCAAATATGTGTGAAAGATTTATGTGATGGCTAGGTGCACTTAATATATAGTAGAACAGTGTAAAAACTAAAAAAATCAAACATATATTTACGTGCACTTTTCAAATGAATATCAAGATACATGAAATTAGTGTTTCTAGAAAGTGCACAATGTTAAAAATCCTAAAATGAAGACATAAAAACACAAGTTTCATTTTGAACTATTTGTTGTTGCTGCTGTTTTTTTTCTCATCCACAGTGAGCTGTGGAGGAATAATCTGCTCTACCTGATATGATACATTTGCGCCTTTCTTAGGGAGTTTGACCATTTTATACTTCAAGGGCAACGCATAACAACATCTGTTATATATGCCTATGTTTATTAGGTAATAATGCCATGCTGCCAAATCTGCATTACAATACATGACCTCAGGAACAGGTTTTCCTAGTGTTTGGATAATTCAAATAACACATATAGAGAGAGAGAGATCTGATCATGGACAGATTATAAGCAGGTGACTATTTCCGAATAACTAATTCCCTTAACATTTTGGAAGGATTGCAGGGGCACTTTGTTCTATTTGTTTTCAGTTCTGTCTATTTCTGTCAGCTATAAAGGGATTTATTTTTTCAAAAAAATAGTCCTAGATCTTGCCATTCACAGAAGTGCAATTTAGACATACAAGCTCTGGGAAGACAAGACAGCCCAGCTAGTAAAAGGGGCAGAAGGCATGTCCTGTGAGGAAAGGGTGAGGACACTTGAGCTGTCTAGTTTGAAAAAAAAGGAGGCTAAGAGATGACTTTGCTGCTCTCTGCAACTCCCTGAGGAGGGGAAGTGGAGAAGTCACTTCTCCCAGGGAATCGATGACAGAACAGGTGGGGACTGCACAAAGCTGCACAAGGGGAGATTCAGAACAGATATTAAGAAACCATTTTCTACCATGAGGGTGATCAAACACAGCAACAGGCTTCCGAGAGAGGTGATTGATGCCTATGCTGTCAGTGTTCAAAAGCCATTTGGACAATGCCCTCCAAAACGTGCTTTGCCTTTTAATTATGACTGAGGTGGTCAGATAGTTGGATAAGGCAGTCTTTGTAGGCATCTTCCGACTGAATTACTTAATTCTACCTCCTTTGTAAGTCTTTCAAGTAAAAGAATAGAAAGACCATGTTTAGGAAGAAGAAAAAGAAAAAGAAAAAAAAAAAGAAAACAATAACATAGTTTTTAAAAGGTTTTATAAGGTTTTATGCAAGTTTTTATAGGTTGAATATGGAGTATTTTCTTGGCTTGTAATAAGGTGAATAAGAACCTTCAGCAAGAAATGGAACATGCTGCAAATTCCTGAAACAGAAATCCTTTTAAGTGCCCATCCTTAATGTTTGTTTTGCATGTATACATGACATACAAACATATATAGAGGGAGATGTATATACTGTTTGGATGTGGTGCTCAGGGACATGATTTAGTGGAGGGCTGTTAGAGTTAGGGTAGTTTGGTTAGGTCGTGGTTGGACTTGATGATTCTATAATTCTATAGCTCCTCATCAAACAGAAATGTCAGTTCCTAAGTTTAGCCGATTAGAATGGCAGGCAGGATACCTTTCTGAAGCTCTTTAAAATCAGAAATCAGGCATATCCATGCTTAATATTAGGATCTTAATTTTCTAAGTGCTTTTCAAGCACAGTTAATATACACTGATAGGAGCAACTCAGAGCTTTATAAAGGAAGCCTTCTCTTGCTTTTGAACATCTTGCTAAACGTGTCATTCTTGTAATGAAAGTGCTGTTCACCAGAGGGTGGTGGGCATGGAACAGGCTCCCTAGGGCAGTGGTCAGAGAACCCAAGCTGCTGGAAATCAGGAAGCAGTCAGACAACATTTTAGACAGAGGGTTTGAATTTCAGGTGTTCCTGGTAGACTCAGGAGTTGAACTCTCCGATCCCTGTGGGTCTCCTACAACTCAGAGTCTTGTACAATTATATTTGTCATTTCCATACCATATTTTAAATGGTTAGAATCTTTATTAACCAAGGATAGAAGGCAGAAACAGAAGGAAAGCGGACTCTTCTAAGCACTTTTCATTGAGCGTAGTTAGAAATTTCATTTTGTGTCCTTCTGCATTCTGTTTAAAAAGATAAATTTTATGGATTGTTCTGATTAGCTAAGCAGGTTTTCATTAAATGCCTCAGCTCATAATAGTTATGATTTTTTTTTTCCGTGTTTCACAGGTTTCTTTGATTAGAAATCATATTCCACATTGAAGGAATTCTTATTCCAGTTCTCAGGAAAGCAAGAACTAATTGATTCAAGCAAGAGGTAAGTTGATTCACAATGTTTTGGAAAAACTAAATAGTAGCCTGAAAAAGTCTCAGAATAAGGCCTTCTTGTATCACCTGAAGGCAGTATTTCACAATGTTTGAAAAAATGCCAATGAAATTAAATGAAGTCAAGAATATTGAAGAAAATATTTTTCTGTGGTAGAAAGAAAATGTGTTTGAAAGCAGATAAACTATTTGGACTGAGCTGTTCTCTCAATATGTTAATTGTTAATGTCTGTGAAGAAAATTCCATTGCTTTATTACTGCCAGGTTTACTTACAATGTTACATTTTACTGTGTTCAAATTGCACAATTTTCTGCATGCTTTCATAATATTATCAAAGTTATGTTCACACATTTCATCCCAGAATTCCAATTGCAGTAATATCATTATGAAAGCTCATAGTTTGCCTCTTAGATGTTAAAAAGGACAAATTTTTGCATGTCCCCCTTCCATAACTATTTCATTTAGAAAATATTATGCAGAGTTCCCACTTGGATTTTATAATTCTAGCAGGTGTAGACTTCAGCACGGGGATCATTCACTGGTGATGTACCTACAAAGGCTACATTATCTGTCACAATTAATTATTCCCTTATTGAATCTGTCTGATCACCGCATAAAAGATTTTCCCTAGAGCTGTGACCTTCTCCCTCACATTTTGCTTCTGTCTGACAGCTGGAGTTTGGCTGTAATTTTATTCAAGGTGTTGTTTGTCATCTGAGGCAAAAAATGGTCAGAAGACTTTACTGCTTAGCAGTAATGTATGTTTTCAAAGCTGAGCGCTCTTATGACATGTTTAGGGGATCACGTACACATTTATCAAGCAAACTTCCTTGTTATTGTGCATAATAGTTAGTAGGAAAGTGTAGTGTTTTGATAAGACACTGAAGTTGAAGCAGGAAAAGGTCAAGAAAAACAAACAAACTAACTAACAAAAGTTTAAATACCCTATCTATAATTTGTCATATAGGCGAAGTCTTGGGATCATAGTGGAAAACAGAGAAGTACACTACAAGGAAAACCTAGTATTTTTAAGGCTAGTGTGTTCTCTACTTTAACTTTATAAACAGCACATAGATCTGCTCATCATCATTAGAAGATCCATGGAAAACCATAACAGATTATGCTAATTATAGCAACATTTGCTTGACCTGCAGAAGTAAGGGATAAGTGGGACAAAATGGCTATGGCGTTCAGTGGTTCAGTCTTCCAGCCACTCTCAGCATGAAGTCCCCAGAAAGATGTACCATGATGTTGGAATAGATCTAGCTAAAACAAACGAAAGCCACCTCACTGTCCTTCTCACCTACCTACCTTTTAGTGGCTTTTAGTGGCTCTCTGTCACAATCACAAAGAGCTGATCTAAGCACCTGAGAGTGATCTTACTCTATGCAATTACTTACATGTATAAAAAATTCATTTTTTTAGTAGTAATTAGCACTCACAGCACTGTACTTTTTCTTTGTTCCAGGACTCTACAATGCATTACTAAAGAATCATCTGTTAGATGTGTCCTCAGTAATGCTCCTTGAGATGGAATCTGTTTGAACCTACTAATGTCAACCCTGAAAAAGAAATGTCCTTCCAACACTACAATGTGTACGTATGGATAACCCAAACTAAAAGCAGTTTTTCATAAGGTACTGTCATAGCTTTCATAATTCAGGGCGAAGGTCTAAAAAGCTTGCATCCTTACAAAGTCTTCCTGTAGTTCTACGCCTGTGACTGGGCTGACATTTTCAAACAGTTTTCCCCTTCTTTTTCTCTCCACATTTGATGTGTCTGAAGCTGCAGTAGCCACCATCAGGATGTGTGTAGCAAGCTAGATTTTGACACTTCACAGACACATACCAGAACATTAAAAACAAACAAACAAACAAAAAAAAGCAGCTACTAAAAAGTAAGAAAAAAAATATTTTGCTAACCTACTGAGTTATGGTATTGTGCTATAATGACCAAGATTGTGTATGCATAAAAATATCTAATTAAAATATTAGATAAATACTTCTTTCTTTCTTTTTCCAGCCCGTAAAGGGCATATGAAATCTTGAAATAAAATTCTATATTCTCCTCTAAAGAAAGCATGAATTTTGCTTTCATTTTTCTACAGGAGATTGCATTTAATACATTATATATTATTCAATACATTATGTAATGCCGTATGGATAACTCATCAGACAGTAATTCTTCTATGGTACTTTTCAGTGGTCTCAGCAATAGCTCACAGATTATACCCTACAAAAGAGGAAGAAGGATGCTGACTATCCTAAAAAGTTAATAATCTAAAGATGAACAGAACAAGAATCATTGACCAAATCAGACACACGGAGGGGAATGAAAAAACTGCAGGAATACACTGATAAACACAAAATCCAGCAGTTAGAGAACAGTCTGCAACCTTTTTCCCACAGTCTTCTTCCTAATGTCATAAGAAACTCTTTAGATGATTAATTGAAAACCAGCAGCAAGGGGTCATGAGTTGAAACAAGATGAATGTCCGAAGAATTTGATAGGTTGTGTACTGATAATATTTCATAACATGCCTCCAGATCATGTCCTTCCAGCTGTAAATATGCATTTTAAAAACACCATAATAAACTAGTCGGTTTTCCTGTAGAAGAAAACAGATAATTTGAAAGTAGCTGAGCAAGTGCTGATTAAAATAATCAGCATGCAATTTCTTCTCTCCTGTTAGATCAACAGACAAGCACACAGAAGCTTTGCCATGGCACATTTGAAACTATCTTCAGCTTCTCCACTGCAGTATTAACTGAAAATACATGTTATGATTTTTAAGCTGTAGGAGTAATAAAATCAGCAACAGCACTCAGTATGCTAATAATTCTCAGGTTTTGAGAGCTTCTGTTCTCAATTTCAGACCTTCCGAAAGATGAAGTGTGCTTTTACTTTGCTTTACCGTAAAGATAGATATTGACTCTAAGGGATCATCCTAGGAGGTTATGACTACGTACAAAATGAAAATTCTTTACTCAGTGGAAAAGTAAAAGACAGTATTTTAGGAACATGATGCAATATTGCACAGTATACATTTTCCGATGAGTCTAAATTACATCTGATAGCTCTATCAATGACTTGTCAACTTGATACATGCTCTTTGACTTGCTTAGCAGACCTCAAGAAATGGGCATTTGTACTTAGTTTACAGATGGATTTGTTTTTTTATTTGTTCTGCTGCTTCGTATTCTATAAAATTTCATTGCAAGATCTGCTTATGAAGTTTTCTACTTTTTCTACTTTAAAGCAATATGTTTCAAGCACTTGCAACAACTAGAATGAAGGAGCTGAATGTGTCCCTCTTAGTAAAATCTCAGGAAGGAGATAAGAGAAAAGCAGCTCCAAGTTAACCCGGGGGAGGGGGAATCATGGCACAGATTTCTGCCGTCTGCTAATTTTGGTGCATTTCCATGTTTATTTCCCATTCTGTCTTGTGCAGATTATGAAAGCTTTAGGTTTTGACTTTACTCAGCACTTCAGAACTTTAATGAACATAAGCCAAAATGCCTCAAGTCAGGGACATAATTAGGAATTGGTCTCACAGCCAAAAGAAATCTTAAAAGGCTGCCCTCCTATTGACTTTCTTAAGCATCTGCTCAGAAAATAGTATAATCTGAGCAACCTACTCATTAATGTGGGTACATAAAGATCTTCAACCCACTCATAATTTCTATTCAAAACCACTGAATCAACATTTTAATTATTTCAGTAGCATACACATCACAAGCTTTTCATTCTTGAGGATGGGCAAAAACTACATCAGCCTTCCCGAATACTTCATTGGATTTGAAGTTAGCTGGTAGGAGTTCAAATTGTGCTGGCTGCAAATGGCAGGCAGGCACCTTGGTTGCCCTAGCAACTTAGTCTGATCATAAGCAGAAAGATAGAGGTAATTTTTTTTTTGTACTTTTTATGTTTAAGTTACGATTAATAATATTAATACCTAATATCCTAATTCTTTGTAAGCTTTCTGATTTGCTCCAAATCACGCTGATGTTTTATTTGAAGGCTTCTGGGTGCTGTCCCATAGAAATTCAAAAAATAATCTCCATCCAGCGTGTACCACCTCTGCTTCAGTTCTAAACATCTGCCAAGTAAAAAGCATCCAGTAATTGTCTGCCATTGTAAGAACTAGTGGTATCATGGCAGATCAGTGGCTTTGTGACAGAAACCAATCATGTTCCAAATGACATCAATAGCTAATATAGAAACTATTACAGAGTTCCATTGTCTGTCACGTCTATCTGTTGGTTAAAAAGAAATCAGTTCTGGATCTTCTAGAAGGACTCTTCAATAGAAGACAGAATTAACAATCCGAGAAATAGAAAAATAAGTGTGTGTATGGTTTTTTTGACCCACAATGTTTTAAATGCTTTTTTTGTAGCTGATTCCAATAAATTGCAATTATACACCCATGCACACACACTTGTGAATACAGGTTCGCACAGCTGCATGCGCATGCAGGCACCTGCTGTGACTCATTTCTCCTGAATTAATCCTTGCTTTCATAACTTGCTCTAAAAGGGCTTTAGGTACTTGCACATGCACCTGCTTGTTCATATCCTCGTCTATTGCTGAAAAGATTGTTACAGACTAAGCTACAATGACCTATTTCTCTGGATTTACAAGAAGAAAAAAAAAAAGTGTGTGAGGTTAAAATCACAGACTATTGCTGGAGATGCCTAAACTTTAATATGATTCAAGGCTTATAGATCTACATGAGATCAGGTCTTTCCAGAAATTAGATTGATTTCAGCTATGGAGTAGGATCACAAACTGATTTTTTTCTGACCAGAGATACGATGGTCTTGGGTGGTAGTGGTTTTCTTCTTTTTAGCAAATACTAATAAGAAAATTGTTGTAATAGATGAGAAAAGGTCATTGGTTAAACTGATTTTTTCTCCCTTCAAGAAGCTGCTGTTTCTCAGGCACGAGGAAACTTACCTAGTTAGCAGAGTTGATGGAGTCAGCCAGTCTTGGTTCTAGTGGCATTTTATCACGTTGATATTGGTCTGCATTACTGTGGCTGATTACAAATGGGCTGTTTCAGAATAACTCAGTTGAAGCACTTCCAGCTAGTGTCAGTGGCAATTCTTCTTTTGGGCATCCAGAAATCTGTATGGTTCCCCAAGGAACTATGCTGGCCCAAATGTTTCTGAAGTTACTGTAGGTTGCTTCTTGAATTGGCTCTATTAGAGGCTTAGTGTATGACTGTTAGAAAGTTGATCTCTAACTATATATCTTATGTTCTTTAACAATTGTAGGAGATCATAGACCTAGCCTTTATAGTAGAAAAATCCCGCAAGAGCTCTTCATAAGACTGATGTTTTGAATTACAAGCTCTCCAGCAGATAGATTATATCTTTCTCTGATTTCAACACTGTTTCCTGTTTCTCACTAAGTCGTTTTCTCTTTTCTTTGCCTTATCTAAAGTCAATGCATCTCATATCAGAGCTTTCCCTGTTTAGCCCATGATCTCATGTGTTTCATCACGGTTTTCTATTCGCAGTCAGTGTCTGTGTGACCTGTGAGTGTCTCTCTGCTTCCCCTCCTTACAGATCAATCTGTCTCAGCGGAATTAATGCCAGACACCTCAGGTACCATTCTATTTCTGTCTAACCCTTTCCCCTTCTCTGTAATGAGTGAGGTATTCCTGATCAAATCCTATCAAATGCCAGATACCTTTCTCATAACACAACGATTCAGTTAATCATAGAAATAATTAGAATCACGTACCAGTATTAAAAGTTACCTTTCTTTACATAGCAATTTCTGAATAATTATTGTCAAAATCTTCCAAAATTTATTCCAAGTGAAAACATATAGTGTGAAATTCTGCAGAAAATAATTACTTTATAATTGAAATAATATTATATTTTCATTCTTACATACCACAGTTGAACAACCTTACAAAATAGGTAATGTTATAGACCATAGATAAGATAAACAATATGTGCTGCTGTATTTCTAGCCTGTGATTTTCATAACTCCTCTAATGTAGTAAAAAAAGGAAACATGGATCAGGCAGTTATCATGCACTGAAAGGAAATTGCTTACAGAGCCTTGGAAATGAGATGTCAAGCCTTTTTTCTTGTTTTGACTGATTTTAAGTTTTATTGTATATATATTTTGAATTTTTAGTATCATTTGTGAAATATATACTTGTTAAAATTCTAAAAATAGAATCAGAAGAAGATTTCTTGAAAACCCAATAATGAAAATAAATGTTTTTGCAATGACTTGCTTGCTTAAAATTTTCTGGTGTTATAATTAATAAAAGATTTATATGAGTATTTCAGTAAATCAACATCTAGATGCTAATATTGGTATGGTTCGAATGTGTCTCTAATTCATATCTCCACAAATACTAATGTTTCAATCTTAGAGCAAAATTCCATTATTGAAAGAGGCGGGTTCTCTTATTATCCACATATAAAATTCAGATGAAAATTCTAGAAAAAAGAGGTAATAAAAACTTCTCTGAAAAAAAAATTGTCATTAAAAGTGGTATCTATCCAACTCCACTGTCATACTATTAGAAGAAAAAGCATTCTCACGAATCTTAGTGCTCTTTGTCATGTAGTACTTGGTTATATTTCTTTAGACAGATGTTAAATGTAGTGCTGCAAAAGCAAAAGGTAGCATTTGCCAAATATGCAGCAGGAAAGAAGCAGGAAATAAAACCCTTCAACTCTTTTCAAGATAATAAATTATCAAGAACAGTGAAGCAATAAGAGCTTGCAGAGAAATGAATCTTTATGAGAGGCAGGAAAAAAAATGCACACAAGATTGAAAAAGGAAAAAGAAACTTTGGAAAGTTTCAGTGTTTGAGAAAAAGTGTTTAAGAGCTGTTATCCTGGTAACTATATAAAAGTTAGGCATATTGTATTAAGCTATTTGCTTAGTCACTGGAGATAGGAGCAACTCCTGAATAGCATCTCAGATGTGTAAGTTCATCTGCAAGTACCTAATGCTCTTGTAAAGGGAGCTATGAGTGCAAGGATAAATTCAGGAGAAAAATGTCACACAGTAGTGCATTAGTAAGAGACAACAAACAGATGCTTGAAAACTGGTACAAAGATGAACCTTAAACTATAATGTGAAAAAAGATCACGGTTAACTTAAATGCTCCCCATTTCAGGACTGCTATGCTGCCACTAATGAAACAAGCAAGTTAAAAATCTTCTAAATATACATTACCATATATGTTCAGAAGGGGAAACTCAGCTATTCTTTGTGAAAAGGCCTGAAATGCTGAACATTCAGCCAAATTTTAAAACAGTGTCGCTCCGGGATATATACACAGATGATGCAAGCTGCATAATGATATCAAGCAGACGCAGAGGTGAGTCTGAATGAAGCATTCCTTGTACAGCTCTCCTGCCTTTGCTTTGCATGTCACAGTTGAGGAGGCCAGCATATATCCTCTCTATATGTGATGTGATAAAATCAATCACTCAAATAAAGGGCGCAGCCACTCACTCTTGCCCCCACGCAGTGAACAACAGGGAAATGTATGGGTGGAGTTTCACAGGTAAAGCAAAACCTGCGCACAGAAGGAAATCAAAATAAGAAATCCGTTCTGTGCTTCCCATCAGCAGGCAGAAGTTCAGCCATTTTGAGCAAAGCAGTGCTTACCTGGTAAGACAGATGCCAAATCCAAATTCAAAACATGGCACCACACAAGAAACCATGGAGAAAATTAACTGTCCTAACAAAAAATAAGTGGTACACGGTGGAAAATGAAGGCAATTTGAACATTGTTTATATTAAGTTTGATTTGGTAATATGACAGAAGTTGTAACAACCTGTAGCACATTCCTGGAGGAAGGACTAAGGTGGTAGGTCTTCTGTCTGAAAGCACTTTTTACTTCATATTGGCGCTATGTTTTCCAGAGCTTCATTTGTTCTCCTATGTTGTGGGGAAACAGGGTCTTAAATGAGATATTTAATTTTTACCTAACATCAGCAAAAGTTTGAGGTCAAGTCCTCTAAAAGAAGTAAGACTCTATCTTGAGGTAAAACATTTTTTCCAGAACTGATTTTTTCTGTCCTGTATTTCCACCATACTTTTCTACTCAAAGTTATTTTTTTCTATCTTTGCTATCTCCTACTAAGCATAGAAAGACCTGCCTTATCTCTAGCTTAGTCCACTGTGGGAACATAAGGTAGTTCAGGTTTTTTTTTTGAAAGTGACATTATTTTGAATAGCCTCGCTTTTAAACACCGAAAGATATTTTCTTCAAATAGCCTTGCAGCAACAAAGGAACATCTCTATCACTATTGCATTCTGCTTAAATTGTTCTTCAAATATGGTATTAAAATCATCTCTGGGTTTGACTACTTAATATACCATTTCTAGCCTTCAGTAATAGCTAGCTGGCTTTCATCATGTCATGCTTTTCTCATTTTTAGACTATTTCTCATATGGTGTAGTCACTCAGAACACCAAGAGAAATTATCAACCTCTTATTATAGCCTTTGTAACTGTTTTAATTTTCATTCTAATGCAGAATTAATTATTTGAACACAAATATCCAAATAGCTGTCATTACTTCTAATTCATTTATTTTCAATAAATAAATACATGGGAGCTGGGGAGGGAGGGGGGAGGAATTTATGCCCTTGAGGGTAGTAATAGTTTTGAAAGTCTCAAGACACTATAAAGTGAAAAATATAAAGCAGATGCTCAAGCTTTATACCGTTCGCGTGTATTCAAATATCTCACTTTTCTTTTTCTAAAAAATTATTGTCCGTATGTTTTTACACATTTCTTTCTTTTGAAAAACAAAATGTTTTTGTCATTGATCCTTGTGGTTTTCTATTCTTCATCATTGAAAACTGTCATAGTCACCTTCAAATATGGGCTCTGATGATAAAGGTCTGTCTGGGAAACAAATCCTATTAAATACATGACAAAAATAATTTAATTCAATCTTAAGGAAGAGAGATGAGGAAGGTAATTTCAAAGCTCATTTCAAAGATGTGGTACCATGTAAATAATTATATATCTTCCTCTGGTAACCGAAGACTATCACTGTGATCACACTGCTAACTCTAATTCTGATATTGTGTTTCCTCATGCACGGTTATGAAATGTAACAAAATCAAATTGTAAGTAGCTGTTAATTAGAATATTTTTCAGACTCTATTGGATAATATTCTATCTATCCACTTGATAATAAAAAAATAGATTTTAACATCCTTTTGTTTGTTTGTTTGTTTCTATTATGTATATAGAGATGCTGTTACTGCAAAAGCATCCCAAGCTGATGTCTTGGCAAGGACTCTTTGAATGATACTGGAGAACTGTTCTTTGGTTGAGATACTTGTTGATGCTCTCTTCCCATGACATTTGCTCTCCACATGACCCATCTTTCCTCTATATTCAGAACCACATTGCTTCTCTCTGCTTCCTTCTTGATCCTTTTGCAAGACCCTTCTCAGTGCTGTGACTCTCCATTTAGCTGTCCATATGTCTGGCCTCTAAACAAGGTCTCGCTTTTCGCTTTTTATATTGCGGTATATTCATTTTCTACCACACATTGGATTGCTTTGAACCACAAGACTACTTTTTGTCTTTAAGCAAGTCCTACCCTTTTGTCTGTGGCTTCAATAATTGCTCATCTCATCCCTTGTATTTAACATTGTCTTCAAACCAAACGCAGTATAGACTGTGCTTAAGGCACATACACAAATTCTCAGAGCACAGGTCATTTCTAACTAAAATACAGCAGAAGCGATGATCTGAATTTCACTACATAAATGTGATTACCACAGGAATTTGCGTTGGCATCTTTTTCTATCTGAAAGGTCTGGATTCTCCACCGATTCTTTAAAATTTGTGTAACTGAAAAGAAAACCCAACCTAAAATCAACAACTATCTTTTAATGCATAAGCTTCACATCACAAGTTGGATATTACATTCCTTTCAAAAATAGCATCCATTTAGTATTCCGGGTGGCATAAACAAGCAGTACAACTATTGAATGCTGGATGTAGCTAATACGTATATATTCATGCAGCATTAAAAAAAAGCGGTTAATATTTTTGCAATATTGTCTTAGTCAGAGAAAAGAACATTAAATGCAGTCCTTTGTAGGCTAGTGTGTGAGTTTGCACCGTAAAATTCACAGGTTCAGGTGTCATAAGTAAAGTGTCACATTTCAGAAAGAGTGACAGCTCTAACACAAGCGGAGGTCAACTTACACTTTTCACATACTCACACAGACCGTGGGATCGTGGACTTTGCTGACTGAAAATCAGAAGTATAAACTAACGCGTATCAAGTGTATAGCTGCATCCTTAGGTCCGAACTACTTTCCAGACTTGCCTCAAATAGGTAAAATAATTTACATATCCACTCTTACCACTTCATTTAAACCTCCGAAAATGCAATGAGCTAGTATGTTTCCTCTGAAAGCTGTTTATATGAGATACTTTTTGTGTTGGCAGCTATTTTAGAGGAGGGAAAGCTTTCTTAATTGCTAACCACTTATTATTAGAATAAAACTGGATACATTTCACGAATGCATTCTCCCTTTCTGTGTACGTAAAATTTTAAGCACGGAGTTGTTTTCCAGAACACAAGATGTAGCTTGGTAACTGATTTAACGTACTTTAATAGCTGGTTCGTAACTAATGCTTGTATCATACAAATTGTCAGACTAGAAATGGCTGCCAGTGATTCCTGTCAGACTTAAATAGTTTCCTTGCCTATTCAGCCATGTCTCAATTAATAAATCCCATTTCTACGAGTTATAAAAAGAATATGCTTTGTTGTTTTTCTTTCATGTCAGTACGGAGTTCAAAACAGTAAGGGCTCAATTTGAAATGGTTCTCTGTATATACAGTGTCACATTTCATGCAGAAAATCTGCATTGGTTGCGATTGACCCACAGTCTGCTCGGAATGAAAAGGAAATAATCAATCAGAAAACTAATTCTCACATCTACAATAAAGAAAGCTCTTCACATACATTCAAAGTGGATAAGCTCCACCTGTTTACTCAATAAGATGCCCTAGATTTAAGCGGTACTTAAAACTCATGAATCTCATCTGAACATCAGCTGCCAAGAAATGCCCCACCCAAATGAAAATTTTGCTTATTTAACAAAGGAGAATGTACATATGTGGAGGAAATCATTCAATTTTATGATTTTCTTCACTTACAAAGCACTCATAAATATGAACTGGATCCTGAATGATGCTGAGCATCTGGCCCTGGTCCAGAAAAGCACTTCAGTGCATTTTTAAGTATGAAAATAATCATGGGGTTTAACTGGCAGATATTCTAGCTGTCTATGTACTTTCATGGATTGGTGAGGCTGGGCAGGAAGGATGGAGAAGAAGGAGAAATAAAATTTTGCATTCATGCTAGGTAGTGCCTGCTGAAAGAATTTGCTGTTGGATTTGTGGAAAACTGAATATTTCCACAGTCTGGCAGACCACTGCTTTGCCAAAACAGTCGCCTTTGTCTTTCTTTCAGCAGTGGAACTCTAGCCTGTAGCTGTGATCTGATGCATGTTTTCAGGTACAACGACAAATAGTGTAAATCTGGGTGCTTCTGGGAACAATTTAGGAATGTAGTGCAACATAGTGATTACACGATGTACACAATACAACCAAAGTAATACTGGGTCTGATTCCCCAAGAATCACATTTCACATTTCAGCGAGAATCCATGGCAGTTGCATAGTCCCTTTCATGCAGTAAGGAATTTATGCAGAGCAGCCTGTCCAGGTTAAGACCACTACCACTGTTTAATAAGCAGTTTGATGAAAATACTTAGGTGCATAGATGAGCACAAATCTGAAGAAGTCCATCCATTGCAGGACGAGGGATGCATCTTTTTGCCAGTGGAGGATGTGATCCACACTACCCATGTGTTGGTTTGGTAGGCTTTGATCTGGTGAAAGATTATGAGAATGGCTTCACTGGTCCAGGCTGAGAGTCAGTCTCAACCAGCATTCTTTCTCCCAAAATGAAGCTAAGCAGGTGTCTAAGGAAGATTAGGAACAAGGCAAATATATTTATCTGCAGTAACATCTAAATCTCAAAGTACTCAAATAAAATAATTCCAAGCGTAGCATGGTAGGTCTGTTTAGCATCTCATATTATTTGAACCATTCAAGCTTTTCTGAACTTTGTCCCCAAGTCCCTCTTAACTTCTTAAATCCAAAACATATTCTAACAAAAATCTGTTGCAATGAAATGACTCTTTCATGTTTACAACCTGACCCCTATTGACTGGCAGTTTTATGAATCTATCTGAATCTTGTAAGGGTCACTCTGGCAAAGACGTGAAGATTTCATCTCACTCCACTCTGTTCATGCCAAAAATCTCTTTTTTTTTTTGAGCTTCTCTTTCATAATCTCTGTACATGCTCTTTTTCCAGGGCATCATGCTGCTTCTGATCACCTCACTCTCACTACAATAACCTTTGTTTTTCAGTGGAGAAGGAGGGAATAAGGATATTGATGGTAAATACTTTAGTTGACCAGAATTTTGAAGAGCTTTTCATTTGAATTGCCATACTTTGCCCAAATTTGTATATGATGATGAATTTTTATTGGCTGATGATGCCAAAGCTTGTTACTGAAGCCTATATATCCCAATAGTTTGAATCCTTCGTCTTCTCTCATTTAATCAATGTTATGGAAGCGTTGCATTAATTGTACTGCATAGTAACTAATCTAATAGATTTCACTGAGAATTATATAGATATTGTAGTTAACCCTTTCTATTATGTTTGTACAAAACTTCAACAGAAGTTTTCAACAGAAATCATGCCTTGGTAGAATATGAATTACTTCGATTAGCTTCTGTGAAAGCTTCAGTTAAAATAAAAGGAGTGTGCAAAGAATATCATAGCTGTCATCCACCTGGACAAAGCAACTTTTATCTCAGACTAGGTATCTACAAAATATTCCTCTGATTCATACTTAAACTGTTCAGAGTCTTCATTGGAAGCAACATTTATAAGGGTGACACATTTTAGTTTCCCACTTCTTCTAAACAAAATATTAGGCCATAAAAAAATCTAAATAAAAACTATCCACATATCCACATTAATGTAAGATATGTTGACTTTTTAGTCCCCTGCCACGGAATTAACATAAGCATAGTATAATATGAGCAACTACCAGCATTCAGAGCAAGTACTGTGCTCCTTACAAGATAAAGACTAACCCTACCCTACTAGCTCCTGCAGTTCTTTAACTTAAGGAAGAGATAAATTAAGATGACCTTAACTGAATTTTGTACACAGTAAGGTTCTCATCGAATTCCTAGAATAGACATTAAATATTTTCATTAACAATTTGCCTAAACTTAATCTACATCCTTCTAATATGTGTTACTACCATTGCTTTTCACTTTTTCTGCAGACCAACATTTCTGTCATTATATTCCCTATCTTCAATTTAGGTTGTGTTTTCATTATTGCTAGTTTCTTCTTTGTACCCATATTATCTTTTGTTCCATCTGTGGAATCTTAAGTACGGTATTTCTTGAAATCATTAGCTACAAGTTCTGGATTTAACTGGTCACTGTTCTCTTAACATAATGAGAGTTTTGCACCGTCCCATGTTTTCCTTGAGAATCTCAAGCATAATTGCTGCCATTAGATATTCTGAATATGAAGACTTCAAATGGTCTTTAAAGGGCATGTTCGCTATGTAAAGAACCTGTAGTTTAGCTGGATATAACCACAAGATCAGTATTCAGTTCCTTGACAGTACTCTTGACAGATGGCATTAGATGACCTCTGAATGAATCCAGGACAAGTTTTGGTTTTCTTTTCCTTAAGCACGCATTTTGTCTCCTGATGCAAATGATTTTCGGGCGATCCTTGATTAGCTCTATAAACATCCATCCTCCGTTTTGCCACCTCACAATTATTTCAGTAGGCAGCTATTCTTTCAGCATTTCTTTATGCTTCAGTATCACATACGGAGGCAATATTATACCATCTGTTAAAATCGCCAGCATTTCTATACAGAGCATTTTTTCATCTACCAGAAATTTAATGCTGGTAAATTTTGGACATAATTTTTCAATGCCTCAAAGGAGCAAATCCAGACAAAGAAGCTGTCGTTTGACAGAACCAATAACTGGTAGAGAGAGATTATAGCAAACTGAAGTTCTTTGCTGT